TGCTCCCTTTTTTTTTTTTTTTTTTTTGGAGACCTAGTCTCACTTTGTCTCCTAGGCTGGAGTGCAGTGGCACAATCCCAGCTCACTGCAACCTCCGCCTCCTGGGTTCAAGCAATTCTCCTGCCTCAGCCTCCCAAGTAGCTGGGATTACAGGCACATGCCACCATGCCCGGCTAATTTTGTATATTTAGTAGAGACGGGGTTTCACCATGTTAGCCAGGCTGATCTCGAACTCCTGACCTCTGGTGATCTGCCCACCTTGGCCTCCCAAAGTGCTAGGATTACAGGCATGAGCCACCACACCTGGCCTCTGACTCTTATCATCATCTTTTTTCTCACTCCCATCTATCCTGCATGGTACTCCCATTCTAGTTTTCTTGAAACTGGTTTTTATCCTCCCATGCATTGCTCAAGAATCTTCAGTGGCTCCCTGTGGCCCATTTAATTGCCTACATAGACTCTCCTCCACTTCTTTCAAATACCACCAGCTTCAGAGTCTTTCCAGAACCATGATGATATACTGTGACCATCCCCAGGGTTCCCACACTATACTGTTGATACAGGTTGAGCATCCCAAATATGAATGCTCCAGAATCCTAAACGTTTTGAGTGCCAACATGACACTCAAAGGAAGTGCTCATTGGAACATTTCAAGTTTCAGATTTTCAAATTTGGGATGCTCAACCAGTAAGTATAATGCAAATATTCCAAAGTCCAAAAAAATCCAAAATCTAAAACCCTTCTGGTCCCCAGCATTTCAGATAAGGGCTACTCAATCTGTACTTCTAGAACAGTGTTGTCCAATAGAAATATAATGCAAGTCACAGATGCAATTTTTTTTTTTTTTTTTTTGAGACAGAGTCTTGCTCTGTCACCCAGGCTGGAGTGGCAGTGGCACAATCTTGGCTCACTGCAACTTCCACCTCCTGGGTTTAAGTGATTCTACTGCCTCAGCCTCCTGAGTAGCTTAGATTACAGGCACCCACCACCACGCCTGGCTAATTTTTGCATTTTCAGTAGAGACGGGGTTTCACCATGTTGGCCAGGCTGGTCTTGAACTTCTAACCCTAAGTGATCTGCCTGCCTTGGCCTCCGAAAGTGCTGAGATTACAGGTGTGAGCCACCATACCCAGCCCACAAATGTAATTTTAAATCACCCAACAGTCATATTTCAAAAGGTAAAAAGTAAACAGGTGAAATTAATTTTAATGTTTTATTTAACCTAACATATGCAAAATACTATCATTTCAACAGGTAATCAATATAAAAGTTATTGAGACATTTTATGGCTCTTTTAAATTTTTAATTATTATTATTTTTTAATAGAGACAGGGTCTCTGTCACCCAGGCTGCAGTGCAGTGGCATGATCATAGCTCGGTACAGCCTCAAAGTCCTGGGCTCAAGCAATCCTTCACGTCAGCCTCCTCGAGTAGCTGGGACTACAAGTATGCACCACCATGCCTGGCTAATTTTTATTTTATTTTATTTTATTTTATTTATTTTTTTATGTAGAGGAGATCCCACCATCTTGCCCAGGCTGGTCTCAAACTCCTGGGCTCAAGTCATCCTGCTGCACTGGCCTCCCAAAGTGTTGGGATTATAGCCATGAACCACTGCATCTGGCCTGTCTCTTTTTTAAAAACAAGCCTTTGGCCAAATGCAGTGGCTCATGACTTAATCCCAGCACCTTGGGAGGCTGAGGTGGGTGGATCACTTGAGGCAGGAAGTTCGAGACCAGCCTGGCCAACACGGTGAAACCCCATCTCTCATGAAAATACAAAAACAGACGTGGTGCACAGCTACTTGAGAGGCTACTTGGGAGGTCAAGGCGGGAGAATCTCTTGAACCTGGGAGATGGAGGTTGTAGTGAGTGGAGATTGCGCCACCATGCTCCAGCCTGGGCGATAGAGCAAGACTCCGTCTCAAAACAACAACAAAAACAACACCACAAATCCAGTGTGGACTTTACACTTACAGCACATCTCAGTTCAAACCAGCTACACTCCAGGTCTGAATTCAGCCTACTAGCAGCATATGGCTGCTGGGGACCCCATTGGACAGCATAGTTCTAGAGACTGTAAGCCTGAGTTTGGATTCCTGAGCAGTTGTCTCATATTCCAGCTATCTTAACAGCGCAAGTTATTCAGTTTATAGGTTGAAGTGTGTCCCGCTTTCTCAAATTCATATGTTAAAATCCTAACCCCCAATACCTCAGATTGTGATTTATTTGGAAACAAGGTTGTTGCAGATAGAATTAGTTCAGGTAGGATGACGTCACACTGGAGTAGGGTGGGCTCATAATCCAATATGATTGGTGTCCTTTGAAAAAGAGAAAGTTGGCCAGGCATGGTGATCCATGCCTGTAATCCCAGCACTTTGGGAGGCCAAGGCGGGCAGATCACCTGAGGTCGGTAGTTCGAGACCAGCCTGGGCAACACGGCAAAACCCTGTCTCTACTAAAAAATACAAAAATTAGCCAGGCATGGTGGCAGATGCCTATACTACAACTTGGGAGGCTGAGGCAGGAAAATCGCTTGAACCCAAGAGGTGGAGATTGCAGTGAGCCGAGATCGTGCCACTGCAGTCCAGTCTGGGCAACAGAGTGACTGTCTCAAAAAAAAAAAAAAGAGGAAGATAACCAGGTGTGGTGGCTCATGCCTGTCATCCCAGCACTTTGGGAGGCCAAGGCAGGTGGATTGCTTCAGACCAGCCTGGCCAACATGGTGAAACCCTATCTCTACTAAAAATACAAAAATTAGCTGGGTGTGGTGGCTCGCGCCTGTAGTCCCAGCTACTCAGGAGGCTGAGGCAGGAGAATCACTTGAGCCTGGGAGGCAGAGGCTGCAGTGAGCCGATATCCTGCCACTGCACTCCAGCTTGGGCAACAGAGCGAGATTCCGTCTCAAAAATAAAAAATAAAAATAAAAAGAGGAAGTTTAGAGACACACAGAGAGAATGCCATGTGAACATAAAGGCAGAGATCTGGGTGAGGCATCTATAAGCCAAGGTACCCCAAAGCTTGCCAACAACCCCCAGAATCTGGGAGAGAGGGAACAGATTCCCACTCACAACCCTCAGAAGGAACTAACCTGGCCGACACTTGGATATCAGACTGCAGCCTCCAGAACCCAGAGACAGAACATTCCTGTTGTTTAAGCCACCCAGTGTGTGGTGCTTTGCTATGGCAGCCTTAACAAACTAATAATCAAGCGAGCCCCAGTTTCCTCATCTGTAATATGGGGATAATAAGGTAAACAATCATGGCCAGATGCGGTGGCTCATGCCTGGGACTTTGGGAGGCCGAGGTGGGCGGAGCACCTGAGGTCAGGAGTTTGAGCGAGACCAGCCTGGCCAACATGGTGAAGCTCCATCTCTACCAAAAATACAAAAAAAAATTAGCCAGGCGTGGTGGTGGGTGCCTGTAGTCCCAGCTACTTGGGAGGCTGAGGCAGGAGAATCACTTGAATCTTGGAGGCAGAGGTTGCAGAGAGCCAAGATCGCGTCACTGCACTCCAGCCTGGGTGACAGAGTGAGACTCCGGTTAAAAAAATAATAATAAAACAGACAAACAATAAAACAATCATAATAGCTAACTTTTTTTTTTTTCCCCTGGCTCTGTTGCCCAGGCTGGAGTGCAGTGGTGCCATCTTGGCTCACTGTAGCCTTGACCTTCTGAGCTCAAGCAATCCCAGCTGCTGGAGTAGCTGTGACCACGGGCATGTGCCACCATGCCCAGCTAATTTTTGTGGTTTTTGTTTTTGTTTTTTGTAGAGATAGGGTTTCTCCATGTTGCCCAGGCTGGTCTTGAACTCCTGAACTCAAGTCACCCACCCGCCTCCATCTCCCACCGTGCTGGGATTATAGACGTGAGCCACTGCACCCAGCCAATAGCTAACATGTTTTTGAGTACTTATTTAGGTACTCTCTTTAGACCCTTTCTCAATCCTCACAATAACCCAACGAAGTTGCTACTACTATTATCCTTCTTTTCTTTCACTAGGTGCAAAGAGGTTGAGTAACTTGCCCATGGTACCTTAGCTGTTAAGTAATGGGAGCTGAGATTGAAACTGACCCTCTTAAGTCTGCGTTAACAGTTCCTGAGAACTCACCTGGCAGGGCTGTTTGTGAGAAGTGAATGAGCTCAGGAATGGCCAGTGCTTAGGGGAGCAGCCAGTGCATAGTGAGTGCTCAGTCAATAGTAGCTATTGTTGTCACTTCATCCCCAGCACCTGGAGCCTGGCACGGGTTGGGTGTGTGCTGCCGAGAGGAACTTGTATTCTTCTTGGACTTCCTCAAACCCCACCATGGCGTCTAGAAACTGACGAGCTCGCCTGCCCTTCTGAGATTTCCCAGGGGTGGCTAACCCTGTTGACGCCTTTTAAGTTTTGCTTTCCACTTAGTAATTCAGAGAAACAGAAAGTGAGACCTGGAGATGATCTCACAATCAGCTAAGAGCAAGACTGTAGGAAATCCCTGGACCACAAACTCAGGATTCAAACTGAGCAGACAGCCTACTCTGGATCAGAATGCTAGCCTGGGAGCAAGGTCCACCCTCAGCCCAAGAGGCTCAGCCGGTTCTCCAGGACTGGGAGGGCCAAAGCCTCTGGCCGGGGCCTCAGCCAAGAATCCTCTCATTTCCCCACAGGTCTCACCAGTGGCAACCTGGGGTAGAGGGAAGAATGGGGAATGTAGACCCCAAGTCACTCAGTTTGGGACTGAGTGAGTCAGATGGGACTCAGTTTCCCCATTTTAAGACCGGCAAGTTGGACCAGATCCAGATAGATGCCCCAAAGGCAGCTCCCAGATGTGAGTCTATGGTTCTCTGAAGACAGGAAGCCTTCTCCAGGATGTGATGGAGACACCACCAGCTTTCTCCCAGCAGCAGTGTGGGAAATCTTACAAGCGGGGTCACAGGTCACAGATAGGCACCGGGGGAAGGGGCCAGGGAAGTGGGAGAGGGGTGGTTTCCGTAGTCCCTGCTGGCCTGGCCTTCACTCACCTCCAGCCTGGCCACGGCAAATGGAGTGGCCCCCACCATGTGCTGAGGGGTGACCCCGCTGACCCGTGTTCTGTAATCGGTGATCTCTCCCTCAGGCCGGATGAACTTGTCGTACAGCACAGCACCGTGGACGTTCACGAGGCTGCAACGAGCCAGGCCGCTCTCCCGGTGGGGCCCCATCCCCACCATCTCGCAGTCCATGGCCACCACCTCACGGCTCCCAGCCATGTTCCTTGGGGACCCTCAGAGATGCTGGAGAGAGGGGTATGGGGGGCGGTCTCACGCTTGGGCAAACCAAGCCTCCAGGTGTCCTCAGCCAACCCCAGCTGGCCTTACCCTCCACCCTGCCCTTTGTGTCCAACACCACCTGGCCACAGTGGAAGCTGGCCTCTTGCCTTCCCCCTCCCCCTGCCTTACCCTGCCCGTGGGTCCCAGGGCCTCTGCCCAGCAGCCTGGGGACCGGGAAGTCCCCTCCCGCGGCCTCCCCAGCTGCTGCTCCAGCTCCCGCTCTCACTTGCCTGCCTCTGCGCCCTCAGCTCACGTCTGCCTCTCTGCTGCCACTGCTCAGCTACTGCAGCTGCTCTCAGCAGTGACTCATCTCTAACTCCAAGCCGGCATCCCGACCCTGTTTCAGTTTCTGGTTTGTTATCAAGTTAAGTCGGGGGCGGAAGGCCGGGCACGTGGGCTGGGCTGCTCCATCTCCTGGGCTACCGGCAGGTGGGGAGCTCAGCTCCGGGCCGAGTCAGGGCTGACGGAGCTGGCAGACTCCATGTCAGGGTGCCCCTCCTTTGCCCCGGCCCTCCCCTTCCTCAGATGACGCATCTGACGTTCGTTCATTTGTGGAGTGGATTGCAACATCTTTTGTTTCCTTTCTCACCCTCCACCCAGAGAATAAACATCCCCAGGACTGGAGCTCAGGGAATGTCCCACAACTAAGTTCTGGGGCCTGCTACCAGTCTGATACTCAGTGGTCTCTTATGGGGACAGGGAAGCTGGTTCTTGGGACATACAGGCTTTTATTGGAATGGGCAGGAGAAAGTTGTGGTGGGGGTGGCTAGCCCCCACTTCCAACCCAGGGAAGGCAAGGAGCAGAGAGGGAGCCCTTATAGGCCTCCGCGGGCTCCGGATGCCTCAATGAGCTCTGCCTCCAGTGGGGCTGACACTGTGAGGGTGAAGGAGAAGCAGGCCTTGGGGGAGCCCCCACCAGCCAGGGCACACTTCCCTGGGTCCACACTTTCCCAGGCTAGGACTTTGAGCTATCAGAACAGTGTCTGCCAGATAGGGAGGGCTCGGTATTTAGTGAATGACAAATGAGTTACAACTGGGGCAGAAAGAAAATCAGCTTTCAATGAGGAAAGTGCTTGTCTTTTACTGTGGTGAGATCCAACAAGAAGCTGAGCGTTCCCCACGCTTGCCTCCTACCCCAGATCTGTGCAGAATCTACATTGATCCCTCCAACCTGATTGCCTCCCAGTGTCATGAAGATCTGTGGTTTGAAAAGTAACTTCCCTAGGTCTGTGATATTTTCACCAAGTGGGATTTGGATACCCAACTTTAACAGACCTCAAAAATAAAACCAAAGACTGAACTATGTCTTCATAAGAAAGCATTGCTCCTGCTTACTGTTCACTGGATGCAAATTTGAGGTGTTTGAGGATTTTTGGTTCCCATCCTGAATAAGCAACTTTTGCTTTACTTCAGACTGTGTGGGGACTTTTTGCTTTTCAAATGCATAAAAGTTATCCTGATTTAGGAGGAAATGAAGTAACATTCCTGTTACTTTATAGGAACATGTACTTAAAAAGTAACCCCCTAAAGATCCATTTGTAGGTTTGATTCTACAATCCCCACAGGACCCCCAAGTGCCCCGTGGTGATCCTCAGGAACATCTTGGCTGCAACCCCTCACACCTTCACCTCCGCTCACCTCCTTGGGTCTCAGACAGAGCACATCCCACTCCTCCAATATTTTCCCCATGCATCTGTGCCTGCTCTGTGTGACCTGAGCTGCCTCTAATTCTTACCCTTTCCTGTGGAAGCCCTACCCTAGTCCTCACCTGCCTGGCCCGTGTGACTGCAGGAGTTGCTCCCGGGTCTCCCACCTCCATCTTCATGCCCTGCTCAAAATGGTCCTTTGAGTCCTACCATATTACATTTCCCAGAATCTAATCTCTTGTACTGTTCATGATTGAGGCACTGCTCAAGAAATTTAGTGATTTCCTGTTGTCCAAAAAAAAAAAAAAAAAATTCAAATCTCAACTCCAACAGTTTCCAGAACCTCTTCCATCAGCCCACCAGCCTTGCCAACCTCACCTTGCATCACTATCCAATCTAAGGCCTTTCTTTTAGGTTTAAACCCACATTCAGGGCTTTGGTTTATGCACATGGTGACTTCTGTCAAAGTATCAGCAGGCTGTTCTGAAACCCCCTGCATCTCCCAAGGACTAGGTCTGATGGCCAGAGGGACCAGTAAGATGGGGTCTCTGCTTCAGGTGGACGAGACAGGCAGTGCTACAAAGGTAAGTCCCTCTCCTGTGCCCTTACCACTCCCACCTCCCCTACTTCCTTCCAACCACACTGGCTCTTTCTGTCTTCCTCCAACACTCTGGTCATGCTCCTGTCTCAAGGCCCGGGCATTTGCTGTCCCCTTACTCATGAAAGGTCTTCCAATGTGGCCTGGGGGGTCACATTGCTCCCATTCCATGACGTCTTTCCATGAAGCTATCCCTGACCTCTCTATTTAAAACCGCACTTCCTGCCAGGGCGATGGGTAGTATCTATAATCCCAGTTACTCTAGGCTGAGGCGGATTTGCTTGAGGCCAGGAATACGAGACCAGCCTGAGCAACACAGGGAGATCTCATCTCTAAAATGAAAAAATAATCCATTGTGGTGACTCACACCTGTAGTCCTAGCTTCTCCAGAAACTAAGCTGGGAGGATCAATTGCACCCAGGAGTTTGAGTTTGAGGTTATGACAGTGCCAATACACTCCAGCCTGGACGGTATAGGGGGCCCTTGTCTTTAAAAACTAAGTTTACTTCCTATCCCCCTTCTCTGGCCTTTTCCTGTGGGAATTAGCACCCTCTGAAACACTATTTTACTTGTTCATTTACTGTTCCCCCTGCCATCTGTTTAGTCCAATGCTGGGCCCCCAGCACCTAGAACCCTGCCTGGGTCCAGCTGAACTGTTTTGCAAGTGTATTGTGTGCTCTGATGTTGGACGCCACGCACCGGTGGCTCAGCACCCAGAAAGAAGCCTGACCCCAGACAGGATTTCCCGGTGCTGATGCTCTACCTTTAACTGGCATCACCCACTGGCAGGCTACGCCCACAGATCTTGTTGGATCAGGTGACAGCAGGTGAGTCGCTCAGGGCAAACTTGTCAGCCTTTCAAGACACACATCCAGCTACAGCTGACTACCTGTAATGGCCATAACAGGTGCAAGTCGGCCACTCTGTGGTCCTCTCTGGATCCGCAGCACTGGCCTGGCCTCAGGCTGAGATAACTCATACTGGAGGGTGAGAGGCACCTCTCCCTACAGGGGACATGCTCTCCCAGCCCAGCCATCTCCAGTCCTGCTGGGTATGTACCCCTAAAATGTGTATGTGTATTCCTAAATTGTGGTTGGCCCTTGAACAACATGGGCTTGAACTGCACGGGTCCACTGATATGCAGATTTTTTTTCGATAAATATATTGGAAATTTGGGGAGAGATTTTTTCAACAATTTGAAAAAACTCAGATGAATTGCATAGCCTAGAAATATCAAAGAAATTAAGAAGCTAATTATGTCATGAATGTATATAATACATGTAAATACTAGTCTATTTTATCACTGCCATAAAATATGCACGTCTATTATTAAAAGGTAAAATTTAACAAAACTTACCTACTTACAGACCACACATGGCACCATTCTCAGTCAAGAGAAATGTAAACAAATGTAAAGATGCAGTCTTAAACTGTAACTACATAAAATTAACTATAGTACATAGTGCACTGTTAACGTAGCCACTTCCTGTTGTTACCGTAGTGAGCTTAAGTGTTGCAAATATCTGCTTAAGACGTGTGTGACACTAATCATCCCTGCTTCAGCAGTTCATATCCAGTACATCTGGTATCCCAGTAAGATGGAAAAAGTGATTTCTTGCAGTTTTTGTGGTGTTTTTCACCATGTTTAGTGCAATACTATAAACCTTGAATCCCACCATGGGACCCATATGAAGTGCCACTACTGATGCTGGAAGTGCTCCCAAGAAGCAGAAAAAAAGTCATGACATTACAAGAAAAAGTTGAATTGCTTGATATGTACCATAGATTGAAGTCTACAGCTGTGGTTGCTGCCACTTCAGACAGATGGTTCATCTCATATGTAAATAAAGTAAAAAACTTACAATATCAATAAATACAGTAAATATATTTTATCATCCTTATCATTTTTTCTCTCACTTACTTGATTGTAAGAATACAGTATATAATACATATAACATAAAATATGTGTTATTTGGCCGGGTGTGGTAGCTCACGTCTGTAATCCCAGCACTTTGGGAGGACGAGGCAGGCGGATCACAAGATCAGGAGATCAAGAAAATCCTGGCTAACATGGTGAAACCCTGTCTCTACTAAAAATAAAAAATTAGCCGGGTGTGGTGGCGGGCGCTGTAGTTCCAGTTACTCAGGAGGCTGAGGCAGGAGAATGGCGTGAACCCGGGAGGCGGAGCTTGCAGTGAGCCGAGATCACGCCACTGCACTCCAGCCTAGGCGACAAAGTAAGACTCCATCTCAAAAAAAAGAAAAAAAGAAATATATATATATGTGTGTGTGTGATTTGGCTACCTGTTATCAGTAAGGCTTCTAGTCAAAAGTAGTTTATTAGTTGAATTTTTGGGGAATCAAGTTATATGCACATTTTTGACTGTATGGGGAGTCAACACCCAATCGCTATGTTGTTCAAGGGTCAACAGTATATACCAAAGGTTGAACCATAAGAAACAGTGGGGCTGGGCACAGTGGCTCACACCTGTAATCCTAGCATTTTGGGAGGCTGAGGTGGGCAGATCCCATGAGCTCAAGGGTTCAAGACCAGCCTGGGCAACACAGAAGACCTCGTCTCTATTAAAAATACAAAAAATCAGCCAGGTGTGGTGACATGCACCTGTAGTCCCAGGTATTATACTTGGGAGGCTTAGGCTGGAAGATCACTTGAGCCTGGGAGGTTGAGGTTGCAGTGAGCTAAGATTGTACCACTGTACTCCAGCTTGGGTGACAAGTGAGACCCTGTCTCAAAAACAAAAAACAAAAAGCAAAAAACTGTAGAATACTAGCAATTTCATGTGGTTTAACATATGTAAAACTATGTTAATAGATACATATTATAAAACACATGTTAAGAAAATGAGTTAAAAATGAACTGTATACCAAAAAGCATGTAAGAAGATGCTTACTAATGATTAGGGAAATGCAAATCCAAATCACATCATCTCATACCCATTAGGATGGCTGCTATGGAAAAACAGAAAACAAATGTTGGCAAGGATGTGGAGAAATTGAAACCCTTGATCACTGTTGGTGGGAATGTAAAATGGTACAGCTACTACAGAAAACAGTACAGCAGTTCCTCAAAAAAAAACTAACTACAGGCCAGGCGCAGTGGCTCACACCTGTAATCCCAGCACTTTGGGAGGCCGAGGCGGGTGGATCACCTGAGGTCAGGAGTTCAAGACCAGCCTGGCCAACATGGCGAAACCCCGCCTCTAGTAAAAGTACAAAAATTAGCCGGGTGTGGTGGCATGCGCCTGTAATCCCATCTACTTGGAAGGCTGAGACAGGAGACTAGCTTGAGCCCGGGAGACGGACATTGCAGTGAGCCAAGATCGCGCCATTGCACTCTAGCCTAGACAACACGAGTGAGGCTCCGTCTCAGAAAAAAAAAAAAAAAAAAAGAATTACTATATGATCAGCAATTCCCCTACTGGGTATATATTCAAATGAATTGAAAGGGGGGTCTTCGAGAGGTATTTTTACACTTGGGAGCACTTCCAGCATGCTCATAGCTGCATTATTCACAATGGCCAAGGGGGGAAGTAACCTAAGTATTGTTGACTGACAGATGAATGGATAAACAAAGCATGGTAAATGCATACAAAGGATCATTCAGCCTTAAAAAGAAAATTCTGGTCAGGTGCAGTAGCTCACTCCTGTAATCCCAGCACACTGGGAGGCCAAAGCAGGAGGATCACTTGAGGCCAGGAATTCAAGACCAGCCTGGGCAACATAGTGAGACCCCGTCTCTACAAAAAAAATAATTAGTTGCCAGGCATGGGGGCACATGCCTGTAGTCCCAGCTATTTGGGAGGCTGAGACAAGAGGAAAACTTGAGCCCAGGAGTTTGAGTCCAGCCTGGGCAGCAGTCTCTTAAAAAATAAAATTCTGACACATGCCACAACATGGATGAACACACTGTGCTAAGTGAAATAAGCTAGTCACAAAGTGACAAATACTGTATGATTCTACTTGTATGAGCTATCTAGTCAAATTCATAGAAGTAGAAAGTAGAATGGTAGTTGCCAGGGGTTGAAAAAAGGGGGAAAAGGCCAGGTGCAGTGGCTCGCACCTGTAATCCCAGCACTTTGGGAGGTTGAGGCAGGGGGATCACCTGAGGTTGGGAGTTCAAGACCAGCCTGACCAACATGGAGAAACCTTGTCTCTACTAAAAATACAAAATTAGCCGGCCGTGGTGGTGCATGCCTGTAATTCCAGCTACTCGAGAGGCTGAGGCAGGAGAATTGCTTGAACCCGGGAGGTGGAGGTTGCGGTGAGCCAAGATCGCGCCATTGCACTCCAGCCTGGGCAACAAGAGTGAAACTCCGTCTCAAGAAAAAAAAAGAAAGAAAAGAAAAAAGGGGGAAATGGAAAGTTTCAGTTTCACAAGATGAAAAAGTTTGAGATCTGTTGCACAACAATGTAGATACAGACATAACACTATTGGACTGTACACTAAAAGCAATTAACATAGTACATTTTGTTATGTGTATTTTACTACAATTAAAAACATTTAAGTGAGTACATAGCTTTAGGGAGAAACAAAAAAGTTAAAACAAATATGGCCAGGTGTGGTGGCTCCTGTTTGTAATCCCAGCACTTTGGGAGACCGAGGTGAGTGGATTGCTTCAGTCCAGGAGTTTGAGACCAGCCTGGCTAACATGGTGAAACCCCGTGTCTACTAAAAATACCAAAAAAATTAGCCAGGTGGGTAGCACATGCCTGTCATCCCAGCTACTTGGGAGGCCAACGTAGGAGGATCTCCTGAGCCTGGGAAGTCGAGGCTGCAGTGAGCCATGATTACACCCTGCACTCCAGCCCAGGCAACAGGTGTAAGACCGTCTCAAACAAAAAACAAAACACAAAGCTTGTGCTCTGTAATAGGGCAATAAGAAATAAATTATCTAAATTCTGTAGCTCTGCTATTTTCTTGCTGCAGCCCACTGCATCCTCTTGAAAACTGCCCTCTCAAAGGCCAAAGCACCCAGCAAGGCTTAGTGCCCCAGTCCCCTCCTAAACCCCCAAAGAGCCACCCTACAACCCCAGCTTGCAAATTCACACGAAGGGCCACTTAATCCACTTTTACAATTGAGTTTTATTCTAGAACAAATGGTTTTACAACAAAGCTGATCTTAAATAGTACATTTCCCCGCTGATAACAGCGCTAGCTTCCTTCAACCCCCAGACCAAGGGATCAAAGCTACTGCTCAACTGCGTTTGACACCAGCTACCGACTTTTAAGGAATCTAGAACAAAGTCCTGGAGCCAGGCCAGAAGTAGTAAA